CAAAGAATAATCTTAAGGATGTGGCTTGAGTTGCGGCCCCCAAAAGATATGTCCACAGCCTCACCTGTGGAACCTGTGAATGGGAACTTATTTGAGAAGAAGATCTTTACAAAGGTAATAAAGTGAAAGACCTGAAGATGATAATATCCTAGATCAGGGCAGAGCCTAAATCCAATGATGAGTATCTTTACAAGAGGCGTGAAAGGGAGAAGACACAGACACAGAGAGAAGGCCACAGGAGGGCAAGGCAGAGATGGGGGTGATGCTGCCATGAGTCAGGAGGAGCAAGGACAGGCTCTCTCTCGGTGCTTCTGAGGGAGTGTGGCCCTGCCAACACCTTGATTTTGGACTCTTAGGCTCCAGAACTGTAAGAGAATAAATTACTTTTGTTTTAAGCTACCAAGTCTTGTTTATTTGCTATGGCAGTCCTAGAAAACTATTAAATAATACAGGGCAGTAATATTACAGTGGAAAAAGCACCTAGGCTTTTGAATAAAAGACCCAGGCTTCATCCTAGCTGCCTGTTGCTGTGTGGCCTTGGGGAGGTGACTTTGCCTTTTGGGGCTGTTTTCCTTGGCAGCCCATGAAAAGACAGGGCTGAATGATCAATGAGACCTCTGCCCACTGCAAGGTTCTAAGAAGTTCCCTTCACAGCTCTGTCCTGGCCAGATATAGAACCCTGATCTTGTTGAGGGTCACACAGTGACCCTGTGCAATGGGTTGAGGCGTGGCCTTTCCTGGTCTAGTGAGAGCCAGCACTAAGTAGGGGAGCATCCCCCGTCTAGTGACTGAATCCGGGCCTTGGATTCAAACTTATTAGAAAGGACACTAAGGCAGAGTAAACTTATAAGCCTCCTTTTTATGGGAAACCAGGCCAAAAGCAGCCCAGCTCGATAGGTGGGGAGACCTAGTTCTCAGAGTGTAGAAGCTGTCAGTTAGAGTCTCATTTCATCTTTGGATTCATTGGCACTGGTAGAATGTCGCTGGACACTGATGTGGGCAAAGGAATGATGTGATGTCTGGGAAGGCAAAGTCTGTCTCCAGCTTCCCAGGATCACACAGAGGCTTGGCCAAAGAAGAGCTCTTAGTTCAAATAGTGTTCCTGGAAACAGGGGTCTTCTGGCCTGCCCCACCCTCTTTAATCATCATACCCCTGGCCTTGTGCCAAGGGCATTAAGGTGGGATTTATTATTACTGGTTTAGCAAAGAAGATTCTGAGGCTCTGTTTGGGGTAGAAACTACCATCCTTGGTCAACCTCCGTATCTTGAGATTGTTTCTGAAGATTGGTGTTAGCAGCTTCTCACACAAACACTGTGCTCTGCTCATCAAACCTGCGCTGCTCCCTACAGATGCCGAGCACTGGGCCAGTGGCTTAGTCCCGTCTCCTGCACCTGTGCACTCAGAAAAATACCAGGAAGAACTAGGTTTGCTCATCTCATCTCTGTGTGGCAAGATCTACTGAGGGATCTTAAAACATCCCATTCGAGAAATAGGCTTCAGACTTAGTACAGAGGCTTACAAATGCTAAAATATAAAAACAAATTCTAACAGACATTTTAAAAGGAGGACTTTTAAGTCTGATGAAGCACTTGAGAAGTTAAAAGAAGGACTAGCCAGTGTTATTTAGGTCATGTCATTGGAATCCCTCCTTGCATTGAACACACATCTGCCTTGTCTCCTCCATAGGATAATCTTGGGAGGTCTTCTAGACTCCTTCTAGTCAAATGCAAACACAGGTATTTACAGAGGAGGCTGGGAAGAAAAGCTGAGTGAAAGCACCTTTGCAAAGATTATGACAGTGAGACAAGTCTAGCATGGATGACTCCATCTTGCTTCTAACCCCACAGGCCGGATGCCCTCATTCCTTACTGGGCATAGGCCAGTCTAACCATGGGAGAAATTTAGTTCATCGTTTGTTTTTGTTTTGTTTTGTTTTGTTTTGTTTTGAGACAGAGTCTTGCTCAGTCACCCAGGCTGGAGTGCAGTAGCTCAATCTCAGCTCACTGCAACCTCCACCTCCTGGGTTCAAGCAATTCTCATGCCTCAGCCACCTGAGTAGCTGGGGTTACAGGTGCGTGCCACCACATCCAGCTGATTTTTGTATATTTTAGTAGAGACAGAGTTTTGCCATGTTGGCCAGGCTGTTCTCGAGCTCCTGAGCTCAGGTGATGTGCTCACCTCAGCCTCACAGAGTTCTGGGATTACAGGTGTGAGCCACCGCACCAGGCCCGTAGTTTGAAGCAAGGATAATAGCTCCTCCTTCCAACTAACCCCCTTCTTGCCATGAGTTTATGATTTTGCGAGGGGCCTGAATTCTGCTAAAATGTTTGCGTCATTTCTGTAATTTCTTATTGCTTGGGAGTCATGTGGCCAGAGGTCCCAAGATTTGTGACTTCCCCAATTGCTCCTACAGATAACAACACTATTGTAGAACCTCAGATTGAAATGGTTTTCAGACTTTTGCATTCTGGCAATTGACTGACCCCATCCAGACCTGACTCATGACTCAGCTCGCCTTGTGTCCCCCATCCAGAGGCTGACTCAGAGCATGAGGACCCTTTTCCATAACCCTATGACTTCATCCCCAACCAACCAGCAGCACCCACTTCCTAGCCCCCTTCCCACCAAATTACCCATAAAAACTCTAGACCCTGAGTCTTTGAGGAGACAGATTTGAGTAATAACTCTGATCCTTCCACTTGGCTAGCTCTGCGTTAAACTCCTTCCCTACTGTAATGTCCCAGTTTCAATGAATTGATTTTTTCTGTGTAGTGGGCAAGAATAACCCATTGGGCAATTGCATGAGCCATGTGGCTTCTTAAGAGAGTCTGGGGTTGCTGTGCCTTAAGTTAATTTTGTCAGCAATAAAGAAACAGCTCTCGAGTCCCTTTGGTACACGTTGCATGATGAAAACCATCTGAATGTAATCAGAGCCAATGGTTATTGACTGTTCACTGTGTCTCACATGCCAAGATGCTCCCACATGGACCATCTTCTTAGTCCTCACAAAGTCTGTGTGGAGAAGTTACTATTATTACCATACCAACATCATTTTACCATGGAGGAAACTAAGGCACAGGGACAGGAAGTGACCTGTCCAGGGTCATCCAGCTAAAAGCAGAGGAGTCAGGATCTGAGGCCATCCCGCCTATCCCAAACCCAGCCCTCTATCCTCAATAATAACAAGATAAGTAGGCCATGATAAGCCAATGCCAAGAATGGTGAATTTTTAAGATATGTCCTATTATTTAAAAAAAATATACCCAATCCTCTCACCGCCCCCACCCAAGACTTTCCAATAGGAAATTAAAATGATGTGTCAGTGTGAGTGAAAAAAACAGTGTTTCCTCTGCTCTTATACCCAGTGCCTGTGGGGTTTTCCTCCAAGCAAGCGATCAGTTCTGCAGCAGATATCAGTTGGTGTCCTCCAATTCAATCTGACAACATCTACCTGGAGATTATCAGATCCAAAAGGTTCAGAGCTCGGTCCCCAAGATGGTGTCCCACTTCCAATGCTAGTGGCAAGCCTCAGGTTATTTTATCTGTACTTCTGACCAACAGGCTATGAATTGGGACTCCCATGACCCCCTCCTTAGGTTTGACTAATTTGCTAGAGTGGCTTATAGAACTCAGGGAAACACATTACTAGTTTATTACAAAAGGTATTACAAAGGATACAGATGAAAAAATACATAGAGCAAGGCATGTGGAAAAAGGCTTGAACCTTCCATGCACTCTCTGGGTGTACCACCCTCCAGCAACTTCCATGTGTTCAGCTATCTAAAAGCTATCTAAAGTCCTGTGCTTTGGGGTTTTTATGGAAGCTTAAGGTTACATAGTGTCCTCCTTAAATAATGAGATTAAGAAAATATGATTAAATACAGAGTTTATTCTATTTGAGCTCAAAGCTCGAAAGTAGCCACCCGGAAATGCCAACTCCAAGTTAATGAAATTGGCATTCTGAAGTGGAGAGGTTTGAAGGTTGTTGATATTGGCAAGGTTTCAGGAAGTTCAATAGGATGTTAACATTGTCCGTACATGGTTAGTGCATAGTTACAACCATTGGACTGGTTTTAGGCTGTGTTATTTTTCGGAATGGGTATTTAACATTCCACATTGAGGATATAATCATCATGGGGTCGTCTGCGTCCTCTGGCCTGAGTTGAGAGCAAGATAATAAAGGGAGAAGTTAATCTCTAACAAAGGTCAGTAATTAAGAGGGGAGGGGTCTTATCTCTGGTGCCATCCAGTCTTTCTTAGTCATTTTACAGAACAAAAAATAAGAAAAGAAGTTCATCTATCATTGGAGAAGCAGAAGTGGCAGCTGCATGTTATAGGACTGAGACCACACAGTCACATTTCTCTCAAGGCGCAAATCATTTAAAATTCCAGTAGCTTTAAGTTTGAATTTTTTAATTTCACAGTAGACATGACTGATTAAAACACTGGCCATTGGTGACCAACTCAACTTTCGATGCCTCTTCTCCCTGGAGATTGGGATTGGGCTGAACTCCCAATCCTCCAGTCCTGCCTTGGTCTTCCTGGTGACCAACCCCATCCCAAAGCTACCTAGGGACTGCCACTCACTGCCAATCATCAGCATACAAAGACACACTAAACATTTTGGAATTTTCAAGAATTTCAGAACTTGGCCGGGCACGGTGGGTCAAGCCTGTAATCCCAGCACTTTGGGAGGCCGAGGAGGGTGGATCACAAGGTCAAGAGATCGAGACCATCCTGGTCAACATGGTGAAACCCCGTCTCTACTAAAAATACAAAAAATTAGCTGGGCATGTTGGCGCGTGCCTGTAATCCCAGCTACTCGGGAGGCTGAGGCAGGAGAATTGCCTGAACCCAGGAGGTGGAGGTTGCGGTGAGCCGAGATCGTGCCATTGCACTCCAGCCTGGGTAACATGAGTGAAACTCTGTCTCAAAAAAAAAAAAAAAAAAAAAGAATTTCAGAACTTGTATGTCAAGAAATATGGACAAAGACCAAATATCTATTTCACAATATCACACAATGATACTTTATTTTTATAAAGCTAAATATCTAGTGAATACAGAGCAAGAGAAATATCTTTAAATGTTTGTGGAAAGAAGTTTGATTTTTGTTCAACATAATCCCTGGACAGCCTCATCAGATCCAGCTTGCTTTCACCGTTGAATCCTAAAAAATAAAAGAGAAATGCACCACTCAGGTCATCATTCTCCAAGTCAAGACAAAGCTCAGGGGCAGGTTATTATGTAACATATTGCACAATTAGACTTCAGTTTGTCATAAGTGCCTGGGTTGCTTTCCCCACAATCAGTATTCGTAAGATTTGTTTTTGCTGTATCTAATTAGGCCATTAGATTGGTGTAAGCACTATGGCCTCAGGGAACATCTTCACCTTGTGTTTGCTGGGTAGTGCCATTTCCCAGCAGTGGGACAGCTTTCTCAGACACCTTGGACTTCTGGGACCCTGCTAACAGCATCCACAGGACAACAGCCTCATGTCCTTGGGACCACATCCTCATGAGAGACAGAGGAGGCCTGGAACTGCCCTTGAGCATTCAATTCCTCTTCCACAGGCCTGAAGGCCACAGAATCTCTCCAGATTAAAACTCTGGATCTCAGAGCAAAATTGGATGGAAGAAACAGCCTTGCCTGGCCATACTTAGAAATGATCCCACTGTAGGGAGCCTGGTAGCTTCTAGGACTCCTTGGTGCACCACCCAAGCATGCAAGGGTGGTGTTTCCTTATCAGAGCGGGCCAGGTGAGAAGTCACAGAGGGCCCAGCTGGGCTGCAATGAGCCTGCATTCCCATCACAGTGACAGCCGGAGACCACATACCTTCAAAGAGCTAGGCACGGAAGTGAAGGCTGCAATATTGCTCAGATAGCCTACATCTACTAGGTTGTGGTGGGGGTCTCTGTGGTCCTATGAGTAGAAAAAGGGAAGGGGCAGAGTCCCTGAGGGTTATGCAGCATCCTCCTTTCTTGACCAATGGTCCCTCTGTGGCTGCCTCTCACTCCCTCCAGTCAGACACACAAGATATGCTTGGAAGGGAAAAACTGTGATAAAGCTGACCTTGGACTACCTACTGGGCCTCATCTTCAATGTTTCTTCCATTCCTGGGCTGGAAAAAGAAAGGAGCAACTTACAGATAGTGAGACAAAACTTTCTGCAGCCTGTATCTTGATTTAGCTCTTCTCTCTCCTGAACCCTAAGGCCTCATTCTTCTAACTGGGATTTCACTCCCCTCCATGGGGACTCACCTGGGAAACTCTTGCCCTGTGCTAGTACTAGCCTGTCGGTTCTCTGGGACAGTGCTTCAGGAGCCTTGCTGCTCCTAGGACCCCAACACTGTCACTTACCCATCACCCCCACCCTTTAGCCTTTGCTTACATGGTAGGAGGTTCCACAAACCATGCAGCATAGGACTGCCCAGTCTGGAGACGTTATGGAGTTTCTCAAAGCACTTTCCAGGAAACAAGTAGGTCATACAGACCCATGGGAGTGAGAGAGGGGTGGGAAGCAGCTCCATGGTCCATATGTTTGGGAAACAAATGATCAAGCCAAGAGACACAGGCTGTGTTCTGCAGGACTTCTTGAGCCTGTGATGGGCCAGTGTGTACTGTGAGTCTTTGTGAATGTTGGCTGCAGTTTTTCCAGTCTCATCTGACTTTTGCAGAGTACCTTTTAGCACCAGTGATTCACATAATGCAGTTTCTGGGGGCATGGATCTAGTCTGAGTTGCTCATTCTTCTATGCAAATACTAAGAATCTCAAGAGTGAAGCACAGCTAGTGAACGGCCGATCAAAATCTAAAAGATAACTCTTTTGACTCTGTGACCTTTGCAAGAATCTCTGTCACCCAGGAAGTAGGAGAGCATGGTGCCTAAGCTCCTCCTGCCATGTGTTTTTGGGGCCACGAATCTTGGACCCTAATGCTCTAAAACATGGGCTCAGATTCTGGTGTACCCTGTGTCTGTCTGTCAACGGAACTCCCTTACGCCTACTCTGGTGCTCTCAGCCTCTCTCCTGTTGGACCCTTGCCTTTACAAGCTTGTAGGAGGAGACTTTGACTTGGAGTGATATCCAGTGAAGGGTGAGAGAGTCCCCACAATTATCCACCAGTTCACCAAGGGGTCCTGGCTTTGCTCTTTGCAGTCACTCCATGACTGGGATGGCTGCAGTGAATCGAGGTTAGAAAGCAAAGGTGAGAAAACATGCTATACCCTGAAAACGAAAAAGGGTCGTCCCCAGGTGGCAGCATGATCCTGCAACATAAAAACATAAGCCATTATGCAACCATGTTGCATTACAAGTTCTTCAAAAATAGGACAGGGACAGCTTTCAAAAAGGGTGGTCCCAGGCCAGTGGTACCAACAGCCTCTGGGAACTTGTAAGAAATACAAACTCTCTGCCCCAATCCACACCAGCTGAATCTTTGGGGTGGGGCCAAGCAATCTGAATTTTACCCAGATGACTGATGCATGGCCACATTTGAGAACCACTGTTCTTTGGGGTTTGTGCTCTGGCAGTACCTCTATTGGAGTCTGTACAGCGGCAGGCTCCTTAGCTAGAGAAAGCAAGGCCACAGGAGCAGCTGGCTCCAGGTGACTCATCTGTGGGGCTGGAGGTGAAATCTGAACAGCCAGAGGCATTGTCCTATGGTTCCTGTCTGCCCCAGGGAAACCCGAACTTAATTGCTCAGCCACAAAAGATTCTCAGGGTCCTTTTGAGACCAGCTATACCCAGAAGTGGTCTGGAGGAACTCCAGGGTGGATGGCTCCAAGGACTTCCCCACCCTTCTTGGGTCGGGCTTTCTTTAGGGGTTGCAGTCTCCAAGGCTCTTGTGTACCTTCTTGGTGAAGTCCACCGCAGCAGTCGCCGAACCCTGCAAGAAAATGAGGCACAGGTTAATTCAGCGCAAACCACATCATGACCTTCCAGTTGTCTTGTGGTGACCCTGCCCTCCCTGGCTTCCTTCGAAGGTAATCAGAAGTCTGGTACATAAGAGGAGGTGGAGAGCATGGCGAATGGTGGGATCACTGCCGTGATCTTCTCAAGCAAGCTCTTGCTCAAAAAGGCAAGTTTGTCGTCTTGGTTGGCTTACCATCTGTGTCCAGGTATGTTCAGTTTGCTTGCTCCTTCTAACAGCCCCAACTTTGAAATGGGCATATTGCAAAGCTCAAGCAACTTTTCAAGGATTAGCCATTTCGGCTTCTTCAGCTTGTTCATTGCCTGTGAATCTGGTATAAGAATGGAATAAGACTGTACATGGAGGCTTACGGTTAGCAGGGGATCAGACAAACTGCTACTGGTCCCCAGGATGGGCAACCAGTTTTCCAGACACTAGGGGCCTCGGGATTTTCAGAGCTAAAACTAAGAAAGTCCTGGACAAACCAGGATGAGCTGGTCACCCTACCTGGGCAGGGTGTTCAAAATAAATTTTATCTCTCACTATTTATTTATTTATTTATTTTTGCTACCATGCAACAAAACTTTGATTACCATTGAACAGATTCAGCTAGTAATTTTTAAATTAAAAAAGAAAAACTACAGAAGAAAGCTCTGGGAAATGGACAACGGGCAGGTAGGACAATGAAAAGCAGAAGACATCACCAGGGCAAGTTTCACATCAGGAGAAAGGGACAGGGAAAGTGGAAAAAAAAGTACAAAACAAAGACACAACCTAGGGATGAAAGGAGCAGAAGAGGAGGGAGATGAAACCAGGCTGGGCCATGGAGTCTCTCCCCTGGCCCTTCAAGACACCTCATGGGGTTTCAGTGGAGGAAACTGAGGCCCAGGGAGGTCCAGGAATTCGTGCAAGGTTAAAGGATCAGCAGTTCCACTCAGCGCTCCCTTGCCAAGGTGAAGACTGAGATTTGAGGAGGGAATGACAGCAAGCCCCAAGGTGACAGTATGCTTTTACCATGATTCAGTGAACTGTGAGTGGCATAAAACTATGGTGGAAGAATAAAAGCACATACTTGCTGCAGAAATCTCTTTATCCGTCTGTCGGCGAGCTTGGCGGCCAGGTGCATTAGAGGGTGCACGGGAGGAAGCTGCAACAGAGAGGCACGGAGGGTCAGACACGGGGACATCGACAGCAGAGGAGTATTTTGAGAGCCCAGGGCTATGCGCCTTCCTTTCTACTCACTTCCCTTACAAATGGGTTTAATTTTCAGAATAAAATCCAGTTTTGAGCAGAAGGCTGAAATTTTATGTTTTCAATAAAGAGCCGCTTGCCTTGAGAACAGATTTCAATTCCAACACAACCCTTAAAAACATTCCCTTAGGGTAAATTGGACTTTTCTCTGCATTAAACCTCAGCATTCTGTGCTCCTGCAGTGGAGCGCCTTGTCCTAGAAGCAGCTCCACATGCATTCTTTCTCCCTCCCCAGGGGTGCCCTCCTCATCCAAGGGAAAAGTGGAGGGCAGCCCCCGTAGTCCTCCCCATGCACTTCTGGTTTCCTAATCTTGTCTGTGACTGCCGTGCACACCCAGGTGCACACACCTGCCCTCATCTAGTCCTTGTGAATCCTCCCTGTGTGCTTTGGTTTAGAGTAAAACTGGATGTGTGTCACAGACAGTTTGTCTTTTGCTTTCTAGTGTTCTTTCGCCTTTCTTGGTACCCTTGTTGGTCTTGATAATATCCCCCTCCTTGGCCGGGCACCATGGCTTACGCCTGTAATCCCAGCACTTTGGGAGGCCAAGGTGGGTGGATCACCTGCGGTCAGGAGTTTGAGACCAGCCTGGCCAACATTGTGAAACTCTGTCTTTACTAAAAATACAAAATTAGCCAGGTGTGGTGGCACGTGCTTGTAGTCCCAGCTACTTGGGAGGCTGAGGCAGGAGATCATGGCTTGAACCTGGGAAGTGGTGGTTGCAGTGAGCCAAGATCACACCATTGCACTCCAGCCTGGGCAACAAAAGCGAAACTGTGCCTTAAAATAAAAATCCTCCTCCTTACCTCAGCCCTGTACCTACATCTATAATACTGATTGATTCTTAGGGGAAATATTTTTTTCCGGGTTATTCGCTTTCTTTAAGGATCCTCTTAAGATTTGGAGAGCCTTGAATATGTAAGTAGGAGATGTAGTGGTAGAGTTTTACTTGCTGTAACAGACTACCTGAATTAAAAATTATATCTGGCTGGGCATGGTGGCTCATGCCTATAATCCTAGCACTTTGAGAGGCTGAGGTGGGCAGATCACCTGAGGTCAGGAGTTTGAGACCAGCCTGGCCAACATGGTAAAACTCTGTCTCTACTAAAAATACAAACATTAGCCAGGCATAATGGCACATGCCTGTAATCCCAGCTACTTGGGAGTCTGAGACATGAGAATCACTTGAACCTGGGAGGCAGAGGTTGCAGTAAGCTGAGATTGTGCCACTGCACTCCAGCCTGGGTGACAGAGCAAGACTATATATGTGTGTGTGTGTATATATATATATATTCTATGGCCTCTCCAAGATTCCTCAAATCATACCCCATAGAAATTCAACTACACAAACTTCTCCAGAGGGTAACTCAAATCTGTAGGAGGAAAGTTAGAGGTGATGGTTACTATTCCCATTGCACATACACATCGTGAAAGCCACGGAAGATGCACATCCATGGATCACTACTGGGGGATGGTAAGCACAAATTGTGCAAAGCACAAATTTAAAAACAGATGGTAAGAAAAAACAATGTAAAGAGAACACACTGTTTCCCAGGCTCTTCCTGTACCTCTGTTTAAGTGCATAATAAAAAGTTATTTCCTACTTATTTTTCCTTTTCTATAATTTATTCTCTAACTTCTCAGATCAGTCAGCTACCCACCACCCCCACCCCAGAGGGAGAAAGAGAATCCCTGCAGCCTTAGGAAAAAGCCCCTGGGAAGTTACTGCCCAGAGGATGTCTGCAGGCCCAGCTTTTCTACTTGTCTGCACATATTAAGAAGGGACGGATGACATGCCAGGGACAGTCACTTTTACAGAAAGATTATTATGATAAAATACTGACCCCAGTTTTAACTGGATGTATTGCCTCTTGAGTTCTGGAGTAATGAAACAAAAACTAAATAAGAAAAGAAAGTGACATTAGTACCGCGTGTCACTTCCCTAAACATGGAAGCCGCATGCCCTCGTACTGGGCTGGGCAGTACTCACCCGTTTGTATACATCTTGATTATCCTGAAAAGAGAATTGTGTGGGTAAGTTATGTTAAATTTTACAAGGGCAGGCAACTGGTAACGTTTTCTGTATAAAGCACACCATGGTCCTTACTGGATTTACCTGAATATTATGATAGATTGGCAATCTAAAAAGAAATTCCTCCATTACGCAAATTTAATGAAATTATAGTTAATGCTAGATCATACAATAAATAAAGTTGCCAGCAATACGTCATTATCTGAAAAGTCTAATCTCATTTCATTTTTTTAATTTGCAGGAGGTGGGGAGGGGAGACCTACTCTCTGATGCATAGAAGCAAATAACCATCTGACTAAGGGTGGAATGAACTAACTTTTGCAGTTTTTAATTTGCCGCAGAATGTATCCTACTATTCAGTTTTTATAGTTCATGTTGACCAAGGTTATTTTTCTCCAAAAGCTTTCTACATGAATTTTTGCTCTTCTTGCAGAAAGTCCAATTTTCCATTTCTAAATCCTTGCCAGCGCACACACCCCAGCCCTCACTTGCGTGGATGATGGATGCATGTGCACTTATCTGACTCAAGGAGATGCCGGGAAAAATGCTTCTTACAAAACCATAGCGTAAATGTTCATGTCCGTGTGTTATAAAGTCACTAGAGATGATTACTGTGAACAATCATTTAAATATGAGAATCTGACTAGTATTGTTCATTCACATCTCACTCATGCTTAAACAGCTTTAAATCAACTGAAACCTCAATCAAGACAAAAATTAAAGTTGTTAATACTACTTCTAATTATGTTGCTGTGAATACAATTACATCTTCCTGCAAACTTTGTGGAGAATTTCTTCAGTGGAAGAGAATAACACCTATGCATCCTCTCTCACTCTCTCTCTCTCTCTCTCTCTCTCTCTATCATGTACATATGTGTGGATGCACAAACATGGGCACACACACATAGGCACACACTATAATCCACCAACATTACCAGTAGTAGAGGCTCTGTGGAAATTCACTCTTATTTCCTTAAAAACACCTTCTTTAACCAGTAGAAAGTACTTGCTATTTTTACAGCTCCTGGTCTTCTTGTCAGCATCTATTCACAACCGTGTGTGTGTGTGTGTGTGTGTGTGTGTGTGTGTGTGTGTGTGTGTAGGAACACTTATTGGGCAAATAATTGTTTTTTGTACCACGTAAATCAGCTTTATACTGTTATGTTTACTTTTCTGGTCAAAAATTGATGAGGAATGTGAAGATGCTTTTCCTGGTGCTAATCACCCTGCTCAACCTTTCATGTGCCCCTTCCTTTACTTTTTCTTTTTTGAGACAGGGTCTTGCTCCATTGCCCAGGCTGGAGTGCAGTGGCATGATCTCAGCTCACTGCAGCCTCCACCTCCTGGGTTTAAGCAATTCTCCTGCCTCAGCCTCCCGAGTAGCTGAGATTACAGGCATGTGCCACCATGCCTGGCTAAGTTTTGTATATTTAGTACAGACAGGGTTTCACCATGTTGGCCAGGCTGGTCTCGAACTCCTGACCTCAAGTGATCTGCCCACGTCAGCCTTCCAAAGTGCTGGGATTATAGGCATGGGCCACTGCACCTGGCCTAATTTTTTCTTTTTAGAGAAAAAGTTATTTCAAGTTTTACTGATATATGCTGTTTATTATTTATTTCCCCAACTAGAATACAAACGCCATGAGAGCAGATGTTCAGTTTGTTTTACTACTGCATCCCCAGCACCTG